CTCAAATAAAATATAAAGCTTAACTACACAAAATTTTACAAATAACTTGGTTGGATAACTTTCCTTTAGCCTTAGGATTGTACTTTTAGAGTTAAAGCTATACACTATTTCAAAATCACATTACTAAGTCAATCTCTACCAATTCAATGTAAAATTGACGTGTGTGTGAGGATTCATGTAAAGCATCATAAAGTCATAAATTGATTTAATTTTTGACCATTTATGGCCAAATATTTCATTTTTTCTCTCGTAAGATACACACTCGCAAATTTTATTCTCTCCACTCTCTTTCAAGGTGTGATCTGAGGTTGATTTTTTTTTTTTTTTTAAAAATAATCCTCACACACTCTACTAGTTAGATCTTAGTAATTGCAGTTCAACATATCAACAAATAAAGATTTTTCTTATTTTTGATTGCTTCAACCCATAAGAAAAAATTAAGCTAATAACCTATTGTTAAAAGCTTAATTCTCTAAAATAAATTTTGGGGGTTTAATCATGCAATATATATATTTTCTCAAATCTAATGTGTAGACTTCTCTCCATTAAACTTTTAAATGATCTTCGTAGCGAGCTTTTGGCTGATGACTCTCAAGTAGTATGACGTTAAGGCACTAAATTTTAAATACCCTCCCAGGCTTAATCACTCGATCATAAACGCTACGAAGAAACATTTCAAAATGATATGTCCTTTTTCTTTTCTTTTCAAAAGTATTTTATCTTGTTAGAACTTTTAATACCCGTTTGGTAGGGATTTGATAGTCAAAAACTACTTTTGATACTAAGAAGTTATTTTTGAACATGTTTAAATATTTTTTTGGAAGTATTTATTTAGTTGGAAGAGCTTTTAGTGTAATCTAGTCTAAGGACCCATTTGACAGGACTTTTGAAAAGTTAAAACTAGTCCAAGACTAAAAGTTGTTTTTCAACATGTTTAGATAATTTTTTTTGAAGTACTTTGTTTGGATAGAAAAACTTTTAAAGAAAATTCATCTAAGATAGCTTTCTCAAAAAATTCTTCTACAAGAAGCAAAAGCAAAAATAGATGTCCGGCTAAAAGGGCTTCCTTGAAAAGTTCTTATACAATAAATAGAAGTAAAAATAGAAATTTTGCAGAACGAACCTTCAGAGGAAGCTGATCCGATGTGCTTTTTCCAATAAAGTTTTCTACTGAAAGCAAATAAAAATATAAATAAAAGCTGAAGTCACGTCTAACAAATCTTTAAAAGATATAACTCGAAAACTCAACAATTTGGCACTATGTGCACTTTACGTTAATCTTGCCATGATCTATTAAGCCACGTGGAAACATACCACTTAATCTTAACCGCAGATGAAGTTAATTAACTACCCTCGTTATCTATGTATTTTTTTTTTTTTTAAATAATTAAGCACTACGATAAAACTACGACATCTGTAGGAGAGGAATCATCGTATTTAAATTATAATTAACAAAAAGGAATTAATTTAAATCAACCTAAAAATTTAAGAACATATTCGGTAATGAATATGACTAAACAAAATAATGAATAACTTTTTATTTATTTCATTTTTAATATTATTTCGCTCTTTTCCCTATTTTACATCAATTGTGTTCAAAAGAGACAATTTAGCTGTTCACGATTAAACAGTACCTTCAATAAAAAATTAATTATTTTAAAAATATTATTCAGTATTATTCAATTTACGATCCACTCTTCAGTACAACAGTTTATTTATATTTTGTTATATAAATAAACGTATAAAATCATGAAATTGTTGTGAAAACATAATTATATTGAATATATTAGCATATATTTTTAATTATTCGATAAGAACATTTACGTCCAATCAAGAATAAACATAAACTCGTTCACTAGCGCAAATACAAGTATTCGCACCATGACAAAAAATTTCGTTGAAATTGTGGTTAAAAATCTGCACAAATCAAAATTCATGGAAAAACAGAACACGTTTTTCTTAAGACAATCTTTTTCTTTCGAGAATTAAAAAGGTATCTTTCTGCATCAAAAAAAAAAAAAAAATATTCTTAGTAAAACGTTGGAATTGTTGGAGTTGAGATAGAGAAAATAAAACTCTGAAATTCCACAAGTTTGGCATTGGATGGTTAAAATATTTTGCATTAATATTCACATGAATAAGAGAAAATTAATTTGATAAGCAAAATGCAGCTAGGTCATGCATATCTATTGAAGGCTAAATCAAATCATGTGACCAAAGAAATTTGCTATTAATTTGCACAAAATTTGAGCACATAAGAAATGCATTTTTGATGAATTACCAGTCCCTTCTGCATTTATAACTAGGAAATGAAATCTCCACATTACAAATGATAATAATAATAATAAATAAATGAATGTAACAATAACAAAAATAATAATGGTGGTTAATTAATTGAATTCGATGTGATATAATTGAAGTGATTTATCGATGTCTTTTCGTTTTTTACAAATTTGACCATGTGGAATCCATGCTCTCTAAATCATTGAATTGTTGTCGTTACAATTTTTCAAAGATATTACATATTTCAGACTGAATACAAGAGCGATGTCACTTCATTAGAGAGTGTGAAACACATTTATTTCTACTGTATTTTAAATACACACATTTATGCACAGTGAAAATTTTGTTTAAATGTGTAGTGATCTATTTGACTTGGATTTACAATGTATACGTGTTCTACTAAGACACTAAATCACTTCATCAACAAACGTAAAACACGACATGATAAAACTATTGATTTGGATTTTGTTTCTCATTTCAATGTTTCTTTTCTTGATATGTCTATGTGTGTACCTATTCTAAGACATGATTTAAACAAGTAACCTTAAGAATGTGATATGTCACAAAGACTATCTAAAACGTGTCAAACATTAAAAAATTAAGGTTCCCCACTTCACCTAGAATTGAAGTCTTTTCATTTATCAATTAATGTGTGATGATTTTTTAGCATATATTTTTATACAAAATAAATTATTGATGTTATCCAACAATAAAAAGAACCCAACTAATAGTGGAAGTCATTTAACGACTCAATTTATATAAAATACAATATCATTGATAATTTACCTGACCAATTACTTAATATTGAGCTTGCTTTGAATCGAAAGTAACAACAAGTGAGAGGACGGAAATAGGGAGGAAGGACAAAGTGAATAGTAATATCACATTAAATCGATTGATTCATCACGGTGGAGAAGAAAAATAACGTAAGATCGTACTCAAACTTCAAACTAATGTTCCGAGAAGGAAAGAGTATGCTCACGTGTATTTACAAGAACACCTAAAAATACCTTATTTAACTCTCCGTAAAATGGCCAAAATACGTGTAAGCAATAAACATTATAAAATTACTTATATTCCAGACAAATGTCATAATTCATTGAAGTACTTGAAATTAATATCCTCATTCTCTTGTTTTTTCTTAGCCCCTGTTTGTCATCCATCCTCTCAAAATTCTTTTTTTTTTTTTTTTAAATTCATTTCAACTATACATTCACACAATAAAAATTTTAAAACGTAAATTCAAAATTTTTTCTATTCTTTAACTATACATTTTTCAAAAAATACCATTTCAAAATTTATTTTTCCCCAAAAAATAAAAATAAATTAATGGCTAGTAAAGAGAGGCTTAATCTAATTATGTGGTCCATTAATTAAAAAATATTTTTATATTTGATGTTGATTGTGGATACTTCAACCTACGTCCAAATCAACAATTGGGTCAAAATTCAATTAATCCTATTCCAATCCTCCCGAGACAATTTGGTCAACAGTCAACTACCGACTTGTGACGAGTTAAATTTTACTCATGAAAATAGCAATAAATCAAATTTTATTATTAAAATATTCGACTAACATATAATTCAATCAAAAATACTAAACAATAAAACATATTCACATGGAAAAAGCATATTTACTAGTTTTATCATCCCCTATCGCCTGAATCTCAAAGCGTTCTTTGAACCAATCATATACGTAATTACATACACGTTTATATAATAATATCAACTACTCATTTGATTGCAAATTAAATTTTTCTTTCAATCAATAAAATTAAAAATTAAATTTTTATTATTAAAAAGCTAACGTATAATAACACAAATCACACTTATACATATGCTTTGAGTGCGACAACATATAGTTTGGTCCAATTCTTTTTGGAACTAGGCAGAAATAATTCTTATTAGAAATTTGAAAATGGAACCATTGGTTCTATAAGAAAAAGGAACTGGATTCGTTTTGAACCAATTCGTTTCTTTTATGGTTCAAAAATAAATTATCAAATGCTATAAAAAAAAAATTCTTTTTTTACTCTCAAGCTGTTTTTTTTTTTCTTTTTTGTTTTCAAATGATAAAATTGTCAATTGTTTTAAATATAATTCCATGTAAGTTCGTATTAATTACAATTTTTTATTACAAAAATATTTTTTCAAATCGAAAATTAGGTTTTGTAGTTGAAACTTATATTAGAATCGTATTTACTTGATTTTAAGATTCAGAATCAAATTGATGTTGAACAAGTTCAAATCAGGTGATTCCTAGTACAAATGTTGACTCCTAATGCCCTATACACACACATACAATATATGTATGTATGTGTATATATATATATATATATATAATACACACACACACATACAAAAGAGGATCACATGTATGCAAAATATGAACTCAATAATTGAGAGAAGATTTTTAAGGGGGCAAAGAAAGGAAAAGAGGAGGAGGAATTTGAAGTTTGTATGTGAATTGTGATGGTACGGATAGTAAATTCATCCCCTCTGTTCCTTTTCCAACTTTGTCCCAAACTCCAACCAATAGGCTGGCCCTGTTTCCTTTCGCCTCTTTCATGAGTCAACTCAATCCAACTCTCTCTCTACCCCACACGCTCTTTCTATTCATTCAGTCTCTCTCTCTCTCTCTCACACATCCTATACATACATATACGCACACTTTGTATATAGCTCTCTCATTCCTGTTTCTCTACAAAATACATGAGCTGGAGGGAGATTCTGTGTGTGGGAATCGAGCTGTATTTGAGAGGCCCATTCTTCGCACTCTCCACCCCCACCCGCGACCTATATATACATCTTTGATTCACTCCCATTTTCTTCATCAATAACCAAAAAGCTACTCATTGTGACTACTGACAGTACTCTCTCTGTAGTGTCCATTATTACACAATCATGGAATTCATCTGCTTATGTTTTTTCTTAACTGCAGCTTTAATTTTGTCCCTCAATGCCATACTTAAATTCTTCTCCTTTGGCCAAGTGAAATTGCCACTTCCACCAGGCACCATGGGATGGCCTTACATAGGAGAAACCTTTCAACTTTATTCACAAAACCCAAATGTTTTCTTTGCTTCCAAAGTCAAAAAGTGAGTCCAAATTCTCATACCCCTTATCAGATTTTCTTGATTTTAAGATTCTTACAAAGAATGTTATTTTGTTCTGGTATTTTTTTAATAGGTATGGTTCCATATTCAAGACTCACATATTGGGATGTCCTTGTGTGATGATTTCAAGCCCAGAAGCAGCAAAACTTGTGCTTGTCACAAAGTCAAATCTCTTCAAGCCCACATTCCCTGCAAGCAAAGAGAGAATGTTAGGCAAACAGGCTATTTTCTTTCATCAGGGCGAGTATCACGCCAAACTTCGCAAGCTAGTCCTTCGCTCATTCATGCCTGAATCGATCAAGAACATCGTACCAGACATCGAGTCAGTCGCAATTAGCTCCCTCAAGTCATGGGAAGGAAAATTGATCACTACTTTCCAAGAAATGAAAACAGTATGTTCTGTGTTCGATGTTCTGCCTCAGAAAAAAACAGAGTCCTTTGTTTTTGAATCTGAATAATTGAGTTCTGACCAAAACTGTGTGATTTTTCTGTCCTGCAGTACACTTTCAATGTGGCTTTACTGTCTATATTTGGAAAGGATGAAGTTTTGTACAGAGAAGACCTCAAGAGATGTTATTACAATCTTGAAAAAGGGTACAATTCAATGCCTATTAACATCCCTGGAACTCTGTTTTACAAAGCCATGAAAGCAAGGAAGGAATTGGCACAAATCTTGGCCAAAATCCTGTCCCTTCGCAGGCAAACGAAACAAGATTACAACGATTTGCTTGGATCGTTTATGTGCGATCTCGAAGGACTAACGGATGAACAAATTGCTGACAACATCATCGGTGTCATTTTTGCTGCAAGAGATACCACTGCTAGTGTACTGACATGGATTATCAAGTACCTAGCAGAAAATCCAAGTGTCCTACAATCTGTCACTGTAAGCTTTTAAATCCCACTTGCTTATATACCGATAATCGAAGAAATTTCGTGCAGATGACTAAATTATTTGTCTTGTTTGGTGCTTACAGGAAGAACAAGAAGCAATAATTAAGTCTAAAGAGGAATCTGGTGAAGAGAAGGTACTGAGTTGGGCAGATACCAAGAGAATGCCAATTACTACAAGGGTAATTCAAGAAACACTCAGAGTTGCCTCTATCTTATCTTTTACCTTCAGAGAAGCTGTTCAAGATGTTGAATTTAAAGGTCAGTTAAAACCAGAATCAGATTAAATTTTTTCAAAAATTTACCCTTTTCCCATTGAAGTTTGACTAATATTTATCTACTGGTAAATTTACAGGCTATCTTATCCCTAAAGGATGGAAAGTTTTACCACTCTTTAGAAACATTCACCATAGCCCAGAAAATTTCACAGACCCTGAGAAATTTGATCCTTCGAGATTTGAGGTAAATTTACCATTCTTGGGGCACAGATTTCATTGACTTCACAGTTTTACTATAAGCTTTCTTCACTTCTGAGGCCTAAGCTAAGATCTTTTATTTCTGACAGGTTGCTCCAAAGCCCAATACATTTATGCCATTTGGCAATGGGATCCACTCATGTCCAGGGAATGAATTAGCCAAGACTGAGATTTTAGTCCTTGTACATCATCTGACAACAAATTATAGGTAAAAAAAACCTTAAAGTAACAATCTTTTTCATATTTCGTAAAAATTCCCTGGTGCCTAAAAATAGAAAGTTTGAAGTTATCTCCTAATGGAAAGTTTGTTCCTATCCTTACAGGTGGTCTATGGTGGGCCCACAAAATGAGATTCAGTATGCACCTTTTGCTCTTCCCCAGAATGGTTTGCCCATTAAACTCTCTCTCAGAAGATAGATTTTGGCAACTTGGAAAAACAGAAGCCATTCTGATATATAAAGGGGAACTTCCAAGAAATTTTCCTCTGTTTTCTTGATGAAGAAGTGATCATCAGCTCACATAAAGAGGAATGAAACAGTAAAAAAAAACCATGCAATAAGAAGATTTTGGGTGTTAAACCTGCCCGAGAAAGCCAATTGTACATAAAGGGCACGTTTGATACGCTATATTGGAGATGATTGGACAATATAATCAACTATCGATTATAATATAGTAAAAACAATTAAAAGAGTTATGATAGCCGAAGTTTAAAGAACTTCGTAAAGTTAGCAATTATTCATTTTCCTACCAGACTAGAAACTCAAGAATTTGAAGATATAGTGTAACATACTAGGTTCAATTCTATTTTTTCTTTTTCATTTTTTATGGTGGCATTTTTTTTTTTTTTTTTTTTTTTTTTTTGGTGGCATTTTTTTTTTTTTTTTTGACATGTAAAAAGTCCGCAAGGCAATGAATGAAAATTTAATCTGAAATTCTTACAACATGTATTCCTATGAGATTAATTATTTTACTTCAATGTTTCATTCTTAACATATTTATTTCCCAATCTGTGTATTTTATTTTGCATCATTTATAGACAAATACAGTTACATGCAGAAAATCATAGCTCTGGTTATGATTTTTGCTTACAATTCTCAATAAATTTTAGCTCGTTTATTTGAATATTCTTTCGCCATTAAATCTTAGATGTGTAATATTATTGAATATTTCTCCTAATTTAAGTTGAATAACAATTTTCTCATGTTCTTGCTTCCACTCTTGCTTTAAAAAAAAAAAAAAAACTATTACTCATATACACAATCGTGTATGTATCGCATTTGCTCTCGAAGAAAAATTTAGGGTTATTTATTTATATCTTCTAAAACAGTATGCGTGTGTGTAATATCACCAACCTCATCAAGAGTGGGCCACATTCAATAATTTTTCGTTTTGACCTTTTCCATATTTCAATAGCATAATTAAAGTACGTAGCTGACTTTGGGACCTTTTGCTATAATGAACTGAAGACACCCGTATCGTCATTTAGCCAGTCAAGCCGTTACTGCTAGATCTGACCCTACGATCTTAATTACAGCACTTTTGACAACAATTTTGATAGCTATATAAGTGAATTATTCAAAACTTATTATCCATAAAAACATTGCTTCAGGTGTAGGGGTTCTTTTCACATAACCCCCTACAAGTACTCACAGCACGAGCGAGGTGGTGGAAATTTTGACATTTTTTTATACAGGCGGATCCCGCACGTCAGCTGCGATTACCCTATATGGGTTCTGTGGAACAGAACCCCTATACATTGAGCAAAATCCTATCTATAATTTGTTTCAAACATTTTGGCTTTTTGACTCCGTAATTGCTTGTTAGAGACTAGGCCTTAATCTTAATTGATCCGATGAAAGAGTAATACTCGTAGCCTATAGTTTATTCGAGTAAAGTCTAGGAAAAACAATAGGTCATCACAGAACACACTGATATTAAAAGAGGATGAGTTCACCTATTGAACGAAATGAACTATGGGAGCTAACTCTCGCCTACAATGAGTTAAAGCAGATAGAGCAAAGCATGTTTAGGATTGATGAGGGAGCTACTCTCCGTACACATAGACTTGTATTTCGATTAAACTTCCTAATAAGGGAAGGTGCCAACGGATATGAACCAAGCAACAAGGCTACTAATTATTATAGTTAATTCCTTCGTAAGTGAAATTAAAGGGTTAAATGCATAGTGAGTCACTCAACTTTGACTGGATGTACATCCAAGTCACCCATCTTCAATTGGTGCGATTATATCATCCAAATTTGATTTTCTAACAAATCTAGTTACTTATCTTAAATTTTATGCAATCAACTAGCCCAACTTCTATTTACTTGCACCGTTAGTCGCTATTTCCACTACTATCAATTTAACTAATGAAATATGTTGATCTCAATGATAAAAATAATAAATAGTTGAAATATAAAAACGTGTTTTAAGTTTATATTATTGTTTTGAGAATATATTCCAGGATGGATTATGTGCATTGTTGATGACATAGACATATTTGATAGTAATACTTTAGTTTTGGGTAATTAGCACAAAACGTCCTTATCTTTCAATGTTATTGTACAAAATATCCATATTTTTCATTTTAAGACATTTTCATCTCTATTTTCACCTTTCATTGCCGACAATGTTATTTTCTCAATAAAAAATGTAAAATAACAAATATACCCTTCTATTTAAATAAAACAAAAGGAAAAGAAAAGAAAAATTAAAAAAAAAAAAACTTACAATTATAGTTCCAAACTTCTAAAAAAATTGCAAATGAATTGAAATAAATTATTAAAGGAGTAATTAGCATAAAACGTCCATATATTTCAATATTATTATACCAAACGTTTCTACCTTTTATTTTTTTGACATTTTCATCCTTATTTGACATTTCGTTGAGAAAATCATCATATTCATCCATTTTATCAACGAAAAGATGTAAAATGATAAAAATGCCCTCATATTTAAATAAAAATAAAAATAAAGAACAAATTGCAACTATACTCCCAAAATTTTCAAAAAATACAAATGAATTTCAAATAAATAATTAAAAAAGAAATAAATATCACTTTTTTTTAAAAAATATATTTATTTGGAATTTATATGTACCTTTTTTTTTTTGAAAATTTTAGGAGTATATATATGTTATTTTACAGCTTTTAATTGAAAAATATTGTGAAAATGTCAAAAAAGAAAGATAGAGACTTTTTGTACAATAATATGGAAAGGCAAGAACATTTTGTGCTAATTATCCTTTTAGTAATTTATTTGGACTCATTTGCAGTTTTGAAAAAGTTTGGTAGTATAATTGTAAATAATTTTTTAATTTTTTCTTTTCTTTTCTTTTTGTTTTATTTAAATAGAAAGTTATATTTGTCATTTTATAAATTTTTATTTAAAAAATGACATTTTCCACAATGAAATGTGAAAAATAGGGGTGAAAATGTCAAAAAATAAAATGTGTGGACATTTTACACAATAACGTTGAAAAGTAAGGACGTTTTGTGCTAATTACCCTTTAGTTTTCAAGTCAGCACATAACATCAATTAAATTGTCGGGGCCTTTAATAGAACGGTCGAATTTATATAACTTGATTGCACCAAATTGAAGATGAATGACTTAGATGTACCGACTGAACAGAGGAGCCTAAACGACATTGAGGATGATTTCACTAGTCAACAAACGGCTTCTATCTACCCTAAAAATTGACAACCCTCGATACATTTAACCCGAAAACTCTACCTGCTTACGGCAACTAATCTTTCACTATAATTAATGATGAAAAAGTGTACAAAGATTCCCACACTTTCATATCAGTCCATGATCGAAGAATAATATAATAATATAATCAAACCTACCCAGTCCATCGACTAGTATATTCAGCCCTCCGCCCACCCTTTCTTCAAAGTTCAAAATTCAAACTACTATAATTATATATTTCAAGAACTGTCTCATTCAAATATATTAAGTACCGATACTTAATTTATGTTAATCATCGAGTGACGTGGCACACTAAAATAGGTGGTGAAAGATAATAATTGGTTTTAAAAGTAATTACACCGTCTACTGTAATTTGCCACCTAAATATGATATTAAGTATAAACAAAGTACCGATACTTTGAAGATCAAACCTGTGTGTCTATATATATATATATATATATATATATATATATATATTATCTAGAAGGGAAATGTGAGTAGCTGTGTTTTATTAATCACAAAAAGTCATCATTAAGTTCAACAAAATCAAGCAAGCTTTACAAGTGTCCAAATGTTGCCATCATTGCTTTAATAAAATTACGTTTTTTCAACTAATTAATTAATGTCAATGGAAAATAAATTATATACATTACAGCTAATGATTTCATTGCTTTCATCATCAAAATCTTTATAAAACTAGTAAGGCTAATTTGACGAGACCTCTGCTTTTTGTAAAAGTTTATCTAATCAGATAACACACTTTTAAGAAAATATTAAAATATATTTAAAAGCAATTTTTTAATGACAAAAGCAACTTTTGACTTTTCCAAATCATTGTCCAATGCGGCCATAATATCTCAATACAGAAGCATTAGGGTACGGATCAATTGATTCGACATTAAAAATGACTCAAAGCATCCAGAAGAACCAAGTTTCCTCATTTTTGTATAAAAGAATTTCTCTATGGATCTCATCTTTTATTAACAAGCTTAATTTATTTCAATTGAATTGAGGAAAATTAAAAAAAATGACGATTTTAGTGTTTTCTACATATGTTGCTTAGACCTAAATATATAATCATTCGAGATCTCAATATAGCTAAGAGGATGAAGCAATTATTAGACATCTCCCTCGTGTAATTTATATATCTATTAACAATTCAGAATGTAGCAAAGTATTGAAAGGAGTTTAAAAATTCTACTCATTTTGAGCCGCCCAACAACTTACGGGCTCGTTTTGAGATGATCATAAGTCGAGTTGAGCTCACTTTTTTTCTTGTACATGCTTGTGGATCAGCTCATTTTTGCTCATTTTAAGGCTTATTTTACTATTTCTTTTTAAAAAAGTGCTCCTTTTTAATTTATTTTATTAATTTCTTTGAAAAATGAGAAAAGACTCGTCTTGTGGCAACTTGCCCCATGAAACCACAAGCAAAAGGATCGGATCGAACCCAGGATTTGGACATGAGCTAAACTAACCCGTCTATAGAGTAGAACAATGCTCGGGTGTCTGAGGCCAAACCAATTCGACTCGATCCGTTACCACGTTTGCCTTTTGACCTAGCTAATTATAATATGAAAAGTAGTTGGAAGATGAGCAATTATATATGTCCTTCAAACCAATTAGATATCAAAATGAGTTGACTCTACATAATATCACAATTAAACAATGCTTTCTATGTCAGAATTTATCAATTGCCAACTTAATACTATTTTACTAATACTTCAAATCAGCAGTAAATAACTTTAATAAGAGCTGGCAACAAGATATTCCAAGGACTTTGTACAATAAGTCAAAATCAATCATATAAGTTTCTCTTAATAAATGGTCAAAAGGGCAGGTTAAATGCTGGCATCTCCCTTAAGAAGGCTACAAACACGAAAAACTAATCCTCTAAAAT